TCGTTTGACCCCCAGTACTCTTTCCTGCCATGGCAGGGGGTCAGACTGGATGATCTGCCCAGGTCCCTTCCGACCCTAGAAACTATGAAACTATGAAACACCCAGTGCTAACTGAGCTTCTTAATATGTTGGTAGAGTAAGAAAACTCTGAACCAACTCTGCTTCTTATCTGGGGTTGCAAAAATTCTGGTTGGAAATTCTGGGCATGCTAGTAATCCTGAGACTTAAAGGGAAATTTCTCAGACAGCCTCTCTCTCACACACATTATTTCATTATTTCCACTGTCCCGCACACCCACACCCACACACACACACACACACACACACACACCCTGAGTTTAACAAACCATTCATTTCACTCTACCACTCTCTGTTTACCAGATGTCTACAAGTAGCTTATCATTTTCTGGACTTTATTTGCTGAACAGTTAAAGCCAATCCTTCCCACTCTGGCTGGCTCACAATTTGTCAAACATTCAAGCTGTGCTGACTCTAGATGGTTTGCAGGATAAGTTGGTGTTTCCCAATTGGATAAGCGTATCTCTTGGAGCTGAGTTTAAGGCACAAGCACTTTCCAACAGTCACTTAAAAAGCTCTGTTTCCTTGAACCTTCCCACCGGTAAGCTTGTTCACTTGACCCTATGCAGAAGGCAAACACAGGAATGAGGGCCAACACAGCTGAAGGGAATGTGTTTAAGAATTCAAACAAACAACGATAGCAATTTTTGCTAGAATGGATTCAGGCCTAATAGAGCCTTTATATATAAAGGACCTCCTTAGAATGAACCCACAGAAGCCTGAATATTTGGGCTAAAATCTCTTCAAAACCAGCCTAATTCTGTTCTTTCTGCTTTACCACTTGGCGAATCCTGGGCATGGACCTGGAATCTAATGTTTTAGCTACCTCTCACATTAATAATAAAACCCTAGGACACAACATACCAAACAGCCCTGGGCTACTGGAAATCCCTGGGCAAGAAAGAAACTTACAACTTTGAAATGAATACATTTTAAAAGTCAACTGAATGAACTTTGATTTTTCAAGGCCTAATTCTGCATCTCAGTGAGTCTGAATACAGGCCTTGTTTAAATCAATGTAAAAAAGGAGTGGACTGACGATATACAGCCCCATGACCAGTGTAACCTACTCAGATCCTGTGTGGACATACTCCAGGAAAAATAGCAGCGGTAAAACTCCACTGGTGTAAATCACGCCAGCGTAGGTGCCATCTGTCCACACCTTATCCTGGGGTAGCAGTTAGTGCATGACAAACAGACTGTTACTTGCTCCCTGCCACCCAGAATAGCTGTTTTGTGCGCTCTGGGAACCTGGTGTACTTTACATCAGTGTCTAAAACCAATGGAAGTGTAAATGTGTTATCTGTGCTGGCCCTGTGTGTCTTAGAGTTTTACCTTAGAACTAATGATACCGCCAGCACTTCGAGAAGCGTCATCAGACTGCAGCTGAGAACACACAGGAACCAAGAGCCTGAATGCAACCCTCAGCAAACAAGTGAAGACAGAACAGTTTTGAAAAGCTTGGGGCAATACTCCTCCCTGATGATAATTCTGTTCTCACACTAGCAAATGCATCTGAGCTGTAATTTACACTGTGCGAACGTTCCTTGACCTTGAATTGGGACTTAAAAGATTCTGCAGACATGTCTTTATGAGACAGGTGCCTCTCCTGGGCCTGCTCTGCAGTAGAGGCCCAGTGCTCTCGTTCTACCAGAAATTGATTCACATGAGCTGGGAGGCTGGCCCCTGGCGTGCACCCTTTGGCTGTTTGGTGGGTAGCCCAGGAGTCCAAGTAATCCTTCACTAAGTCTGGAAACATGTCAAATGACCTGACAGATGTCCTCTTTAAAGGAGGCTTCTATTTATTCTTCCCCGCAGTCAGAGTTGACTTATAGCTTATAATATGATGGCTCTCTGGTTGGCATTTACACTTCCCCACAGCCTGCTAACCTTTTTGCTGAAGCAGCAGCATGGGAAGAGCAGGGCTCTGGGTGCTGGGTTTTTAAGGCTGTGGCACCCTCTTGTGGTACTATGTTGCTCACTGAACTCTCCAGCAGCTGCACCCAACATCTCACCTTTCTCCCTCTCCCTTTGCCTTTGTGAACAGTTACCTGCAGCCCTGAGTTATGGTCAGCCTGTTTGGGTGTGATGATGCAGCATCTCCATTAGAAATCAAAAGAAGTATCTATAATCAGGTTCAGTGCAGACAGAAAATGGAGGGGGCTTTCCTAGAGAAAGGGCAGGCTACAGCTCAGCTGCTGCAGCTGTGAGGGGGCACACACAACACAGGGACAGAGGAATTGAATGAATGCAGGTGTGGACACATAGGGCTCTGGAGGGGCCACTGGGTGCAAGGAGCTCCTCACCCAATGGGGATAACGTCACCATCTGCAGGTCTTGCTCTCCATTGCATAAAGCCATTTTGTGCTACTCTGGTTGTACACAGGGCTCTGCAGTTGGGTGCATGGTTTGGTGCAAAGAGAATTAGGCTGTGTCCAGCAGGGCTGGGTAGCCAAGCTTCCCTTTGCGTTGCTACTTTGGGACATCGCACCTGGAAGAGCCCCTAGGGGAAGGATAAGCTCCTTTGCCCAAGTGGGCTGCAGTGAGGAACACCCAATCTCCAAGGACTGTACACCTAGCACCTGATCTCTATGCTGAGCACTCACCGTCTCCATCCCCAACAAGACCAGCAAGGGGATGGTGGTCATTCCACCCCGGATCCACTCTTCCAGCGTCACAGTCCCATCATGATCATAGTCAATTTCCTCCATCATCTCCTTCAAAATCTGGAAGAAACAAGAGCCCCAGGAGTCACCATGCAGTCTTTCTGAAGCTATTCACTGGGGTGCCTCAGGATGGCAAGTCAGAGCATTTATGTGAAGAACTGAAAACCTAGGCAATGAACAGGGCAAGGCTGATGCCATTTCCAGTGCCCAGAGGCCAGCACAGATCTCTGACTGCAGCCCTGTGCCCTTCATACCCCACAGCATTTTCCCACCCAGCTTCTACCCTGCTGTTTACACCTGGCCTCTCCTCCCTAACTATTCTGGAAGGTCTCCACCATCGCCTCTTCTTTTAACAACCCTTATTATTAAAAGGGCAGAGGCATGAACGGAGGAGCTTTGTCTCTTCAGAATGAATCTAGCACTGTTTTTTCCTCATCTCAGGTCCCAGCTCCCCTCTCTTTGGGACTATCTCTGTGTATAGGCTTATTTAGTCTGAAGAAGAGAAGACTGAGGTGGGATTTAATAGCAGTCTTCAGCTCCCTGCAAGGGGGTTCCAAAGAGGACGGAGCTGGACGGTTCTCAGTGGTGGCAGATGACAGAACAAGGAGCAATGGGTTCAAGTTGCAGCAAGGGAAGTTTAGATTAGATATTAGGAAAAAATCTCTCATGAAGAGGGTAGTAAAGCACTGAAACAGGTTACCCAGGGAGGTTGTGGAATCTCCCTCCTTCGAGGTTTTTAAGACCTGGCTCGACAAAGCCTTGGCTGGGATGATCTAGTTGGGGCTGGTCCTACTTTGAGCAGGTGATTGGACTAGATGTGGCCTTCTAAGGTCCCTTCCAACAGTAATTTACTATGATTCTATCTCTATAGCAGCTAGCCGCAACATTAAAAAGCCAGAATAAGCAACATTGCCCCTGGATAACAAAGCCCCTGATTAGATGCCTCAATTTTACCTTCCTGAGCTGTGCTGTGTCTTCAGAAAGAACAACTTTTAGAGCTGCCCTTGCAGCATAAGCAGCTGCCAAAATGGTCACCTCAGTCTTTTCAACTTCATCTCCTCTAACAATTGTCACATGCTTGAGAGAGGCCACAGGATCTTCTGTAACTTACTGGTTTTAACTCTGTTGAGTCCCACTCCAGGTATTCTGCTACATGCACCATCTGATTTATGATTCGATCCAGCTCCTGAGCCCAGAGAGGAGACAAACAAGGAAACAGAGACAATCAGAGATGTCCCTCAACCAACATCTGACAGTACTACAAGCATGTACAACTCATGGCATAGGCTATTCACATAGACACAAGGTGGAAGAGACCTCAAACCAAACCCTATACAAACTAAAGTGTGGACACTGAGGTTACAGGTCTGGTGGGGAAACACCTTTACTACAGGCAGCCACATTTCAGCTGGTTGGAACATCTGGATAAAAAAGTTTTCTTTGGAAAAAGCTGTTTTCCTGAAACTGATTTTTCTTCACAAAGGGTAAGTACAGACACTCAGAGAGGTAAGAAAGAGGTTAGATTGAGTTAAAAAATGGACATCCCATCGAAGTTAAGTTGAGATGGGGGAGGGGAGCAGCGCTAATGGGGGAGTTGGAGGGCTCAGAGGGCACCAGCGGAGTCGGAGGATTTGGCAGGATCAGGGGTGCTAGCAGGCTGTGTGGGGGGTGGGCAGGCTGGTCCATGGGATGCAGGATGAGGGCTGTCCATTTTGGGGTGGGGTGAAGGGCCAGGGGACTAAAAATAGCTGGGTGTCAGGGTGAGCGGGTGGTAGGAAAAGTGCAGGGCCAAGGCTGGGACCAGTGGCTGGGCTTTTCCCAGCCCCAGGGCTGGGCCCGGAACTGTACAAATGTTTACTTACATCAGTCTCGCCAGACCCAATTAAGTTAGATTACCTTGGAGGAACAGTTAACTTTCATAGATTTCATAGATTTCATAGACATTAGGACTGGAAGGGACCTCGGAAGATCATCGAGTCCAGCCCCCTGCCCAAAGGGCAGGAAGTCAGCCGGGTTCATAGGATCCCAGCAAGATGAGCATCCAGTTTGCTCTTGAAGGTGTTCGATGTAGGTGCTTGAACCACCTCCGGTGGCAGGCTGTTCCAGACCTTGGGGGCTCGGACAGTAAAGAAATTCTTCCTTATGTCCAGCCTGAAACGGTCTTGTAGTGGTTTATGACCATTCGACCTAGTCGTCATCCCTTGGGGCGCTCTGGTGAACAAACGTTCCCCCAGATACTGGTGGTCACCCCTGATAAACTTATAGGTGGCCATCAGATCACCCCTGAGCCTGCGCTTTTCCAGGCTAAAGAGCCCCAGGGCTCTCAGCCTGTCATCATAGGGTCTGCTTCCCTGACCTCTGATCATGCGCGTGGCTCTTCTCTGGACTCTCTCAAGCTTCTCCACATCCTTTTTGAATTGTGGAGCCCAAAACTGGACACAGTACTCCAGCTGCGGCCTCACTAAGGCCGAGTACAGGGGGAGAATGACGTCCCGGGATTTGCTTGAGAAGCATCTATGGATGAAAGCCAGCGTTTTGGTCGCTTTACTAGCCGCCGCATCGCATTGCAGGCTCATGTTCATCTCGTGGTCAATGATGACCCCCAAGTCTCTTTCTTCCATAGTGCTAGCCAACATAGCACTGCTGAGCCTATAAGGATGCTGAGGGTTTTTCTTCCCAAGGTGGAGAACCTTGCATTTATCGGCGTTGAACACCATCAGATTCTCGTCCGCCCACTTGCTGAGCCTGTCCAGGTCAGCCTGGATAACCTGCCTGTCTTCTGGTGTGGATGCTTTGCCCCAAAGTTTGGTGTCATCGGCGAACTTGGCCAGTCCGCTTCTGACTCCAGTGTCCACATCATTAATGAAGATGTTGAACAGTATGGGTCCAAGGACAGAGCCTTGGGGGACCCCACTGGTCACAGGACACCACGATGAGTGACTTCCATCGATTACTACCCTCTGGGTCCGACCCCGGAGCCAATTTTCCAGCCAGCGGATCGTGGAGGACCCAAGGCGACAATTGGCCAGTTTCTCCAAGAGGCGATCATGGGACACCAGATCGAAGGCTTTTTTGAAGTCAAGATATATGACATCAATCTCTTCTCCCTTGTCCAGGTGATAGGTCACCTGGTCGTAGAAGGAAATGAGATTGGTCAAGCAAGACCTACCCGCAACAAACCCGTGCTGGCTATCCCTTAAGATGTTGGCGTCGGCCAGTCCATTAAGGATGGCCTCTTTAATAAACTTTTCTAAGATCTTCCCCGGGATAGAAGTCAGGCTGATGGGCCTATAGTTAGCCGGATCCACTTTCCTCCCTTTCTTGAAGATAGGCACCACATTGGCCTTCTTCCAGACTTGGATTGGTTCACCCATTTTTAGACTGATCTAACCATCCTGGGGCACAGACAGATGTGCAGCTCCCCGCTGTAACTGAGAAGGCTTTGCAGGAAGTGTTCTCCTTTCTCCCAGCCTCTCCCTGTTTCTGAATTGGGGGGAAGGGAGCAGAGGGAGCTTGTTCTAGGTGTTCCCCAACCGGCACTGGATGGTGGGGTGGGTGAATTGGAGTTCCCCCAGCTCAGGGAGAGCAGATTCAAACACCCTTCCCCATCCTCCAGCAGGGGTTGAAAAAAAACCCCCAAACCAAACTCCCTCTGCTCCCTTTCCCCGCTCCTATTCTGAAAACAGCTCAAGGCTTGCAGGCAGGCAGACACAAGTTACAGAAGACACTCTGTTTTGAAATGTCTTCATATGAACCCTCATGCAATGAGGGGGGCAGATTTTCTTCCAATCCACCATTTTGAAGCTGTCTACAGCTGTGAACTTGTGTTCAGTCACCAGCTATAGACTGCTTTCTGAGGCCTGATCATGTGAAAACTGTTACTTCTGTACAGTTCACACCCCTGAACTTTTGTACTGTTTGCATTTAGATCTACCTAACTAGGGATCTAAGTGTAAGGTCCACACCTGGGGGGAATAAGTTAGATCACGTGGCCATTTTTAACATGATCTAACCTTCCTGAATGTCTGTATTTACCCTAAACTGTCTCAATAACCCTAAAAACTGACACAGAATAAATGTGAAAAAACATGATTTTTTTTTCCTGGAGGGAAACTTGATTCTGGGATTTTGAAATTTGTTCTTGATTTTTCACTTTACTTTCTGTTGTGCTATGTTAATGGTCTTTCATAGTTTCATAGTTGGTAGGGTCGGAAGGGACCTGAGCAGATCATCAAGTCCGACCCCCTGCCATGGCAGGAAAGAGTACTGGGGTCAAACGACCCCAGCAAGGTATTCATCCAGCCTCCTCTTAAAGACCCCCAAGGTAGGAGCCAGCACCACTTTGCTTGGAAGTTGGTTCCAGATCCTAGCCGCCCTGACAATGAAGTAGCGCCTCCTGATGTCTAGTCTGAATCTACCCTCTGCCAGCTTGTGACCTTTCATACACACACTACCACTAACGTAACATGACCTTGTAGACTGGTTGGACTAGTCTAACTTTTTTTTTTTAATTATTAAATCAAGACTACTGTGCCTTGACATTTTTTTTTGTGCTTTTTAAACCAATACATCTCCTCTTTGTGTGACACCTTACCACTTTTTCTCTCTCTCACAACACAGGAAATACTTTGATGGGAAAATGATGGTGATACTCGGTAGCAGCTGCTCCAAATGATTTAAAAAAGTAAAATCAAAGAGTGGATTTCCCAGTTCTGTGGGAAAGTTATTTTTTTACTAGGTTTTGGAACAATTTCTGCCCTTGCCTCCAAATACTGCCCATAGAACTGGATGCTCTGCTTCAATATCTACCCCTGAGGTGAACCAGAGTTCAACATGAGTAAGTGAATTAGAATTTGTCCCCAGAGAAACAGGAGGGAAAGGGCAGAAAAAAATGTCCCCAAAAGGACTCAAATGAACATGAGCAGTATAATAGCAGTTTTTGCTTGGTGAAGGAATATTATATGGTGAAGTGAACTTGGGTTCACAAAAGTTTGTGCATTTGTTCTCTGTCTCTGTCTGTCTGTTTAATTTAGTCTATATATACCCTGCCTTCTGACTGACTTCAGACTAACATAGCTAACTACCTCTCTCTGTACCTACATGGTACCATGCGGAGCTACTTCTGAATGAAATAGCTCTGGCATAGACGCAAATTAGCTCCAATGAGAGGCTTGAATGGAGAGTGCACACATGGTGATGTACCCAGTGATCTGGAGGAAACCACCCTAGTTTCTTGCCTAGAAACAAGCTGGCTGAGCTAGAAGGAGCTGAGAGAGTCAATACAGAGATTGCCTTTCAGGTGAGGTTCTGACAGTGTTTGGATTCAGGAAGCCTCTTTTGCAAAGTGACTGCAGCCTGGCCAGGAGGTGGTGACTTGCCTCCATGCCCTGAATTGCTGGGCTGAATGGCCAGCACAGATCTAAGGAAACATCTCAGGTGTCTTCCACTCATGCAATCCCTCCACGTATCTGTGGGTTGATGTGATGAATTACAGGTCTCTATGTGAGACAGTGTGATTTGTACAGATGCCTGTTGCACACCACTGCAAATGTGCTCTCCGGCCGAGTGTCCCACAGATAATCTCAAGTTGATCTAATACATCCCTTGACTGAGCCCAAGACAACCAGCATGCAATGGCCTGCTTGGACAATGGGGCTGGATATTGCCAGAGTTTCTCTGAATGACTCATAGGCTCAGGTGCTGCCCTTGCTCATGTTTGATGACCATGCCTGAGCTGGGCAGGTGCCTGTAGGTGTCCTCCTATGTCAGGAGAGATGGGCTCAAGAAGATGTCTCTATCGGACAAGGTCCTTGGGGAAGACTTACCGAGTTGTCCAGAAGGCCGTTGCCATCCGTATCATACAGGCGAAACATAACTGCAAACAAACAAACACACCAGGCATGAGGCAGAAGCAGGGCTGTGGACGAACAAGCTCACCAAGCTGCATTCCAGCCTGGGGCCGCTCCCATAGCTTTCATGGGCACGCACTCGTGGCCCACTGAACCCATGCCCTTGGGCTTCTCAGGGAGCTCTCATCTTATGTAAGATGTAAATACAGCTGATGGCCAGCCATCCATAGTCTACTCCAGGCACCTTCTCCTCGATGTCAGAGATGCACTAAAACCCAGAGATCTCACTTGCAGCCCCCTGGGCTGTGTCTCATTATGTGCTTTCCTAAATACACTTTACTGTGCAGTGCAAAATGATACCCATCTTCAGCCTAAAGCATTTGGAGGTGAAAAGTGCCATACAAGAGCTAGGCATTGCTGTAGGATTTGCTTGGCTATGCTCTACTTATCAAATTCTCTATTAGATCCCCAAGGCTGGTTCCGGTGACACAGAAGAGCTTTTCTTTTCCTAATGAGTCGTCCAGAGCTTTTCCAAAGGAGCTGGGTGTGGAGGGAGCTGTGAGAAGGAGAGAAACTGGCATTCGGAGAAGCCAACAGGATGGTGGGTGGTGCTGCGGGGCAATTATCCAGCACTTCTAGGACTAAAAGGAAGTAGATGTAAAAGTGCAGCTGAACTTCTCAAAACTGCCTTTAGCCACTGAGAGCCTGTGAGTCTTTGGCACTGAGGAAAGTGTTTGTTTTAATTCTGCATTAGGTAGAGTTGAATAGCAAGGTGGGCCAAATGCTTTGTGGGTAGATAAGCCATCTCACAGTGGGGGTCTCTTCCCCACAGCTGTGTTTTGTGCTCAAGAGTCTCAAGTTTGTTTAAAAACAAAAACAAAAAACCAGAAACAAGCCTTGAATACTCTGGTGCCAAAGACAGCTTTTAAAGCAAGAACATGAGTAAATCAATGCAGTGATGCCTCCATGAGTCTGCAGAGACTCTGCGATAACCCCTGTGGGAGGTGTCAGTTGCCCCTTCACAATCTGGGAAACCCTAACATTGGCATCTAAAGACGACAATAAATGGCAATGCTGTTAGCCACCTCCCCAGTGCATGGTGAAGAGGAGCACTGTCCACCTCAGCTGGTGTCATGAATGGAGCATGTAGGGAGCAGAGCATGGGAGGCCATCAATCTCTTTATGGCTGCCAGGGCTACTTTACAAGCTTCTTTCTTCTTTCTTAATGAGCAAGTGCTTTCTTCAGTGGAGGATCTCCATTTCCTCTAAGCACGTTGTGCTTGCTTTTCTACCGTAACAGAGATGCATAAACCCAGGATGTGAATGATGGCAGTAGGGGGTATGAAATGGCTCCAATAAAGTACTGTTCAAGTCCAACATCTATGGTCCCCTGTCTACGTGGCTCTTGTGAATTATGCCACTGAAAAATCCATCTCACGAGTTGATGTCACAGACATCCCCACCAGAAACTCCAGCCTCCCTCAAGCTGCTTTAACACCCCTCTGAAAGGCTAATAGAAGCAAAAGAAAGACAAATGAGCCTGTAGATGCTAGAGGGCAGCTTTGCAGTTTCACTGCACAACAACAGAGCCCCCTTCCCCTGGCATGGGATCTACAGACAGAGGCAGAGCAGCAGAAACTCCTTCACTGCAACAACCTACTCTGATCACCTTCCCTTATGCACAGATTGCCCCGTCAGGTAATAAGCAATGACACATGCAGCAGGCAGCACATTTGTGAGCGAGTGACTAATGCCCCTGTTAGGCAGCAAGCCAAGCAATTTTAATACGCAGAGGAAGTGATGAGCTATTATTCCCCAGAAATGTAGGGCCTTTCTTGTCTTACAGCCATTAACAATCTGTAAGTCACAGGTTTGTGCTCGGAATCATTTAAAACAGACTGTCACCCTTCCCATTTATCCTTTACACTGGATGCATGCTCCCCATTGGTCCTACCTATGTTAGGGACATTTCCCTTTGGTACTAGTCTCTGGCAGAGCTTAATGATGGGTGGATGAGCAGGGCATGAGCTCTGGGTGATGCCTAAGGTGATGGGGTGGGGGGCAGGGAGGAGTACCCGAATGGAGCTAAGGGGGTGCCTTACCATCCTGTCCTCTGGTGTAGATGTTGCTTTCTTTGTTTGCCAATGAAAATCAGTGTTTAAATGACCATTTAACACACACATTACCTGCAAAATATGAGGTAACATCTCCCCATGCAGCAGCAAACCTCCACACACTGCTCCCTCCCCATGAGCCACCACTGCCTGGGGCACAGTGCCGGGCAGTTATACCTCTGCTAACATCAGCTTAGCCGCCCTAGAGTAGGCAACACTGCAAGACAGTGTAGACAGGTGCCAGCTGCCATCAGGCTATTTAGCACTGGGTAAACCTGACTTGTTCTGAGATGGTGTTCAGCTACATGATGCTTCTAAAGAAGGGTTTCCAATGGAGCTGAACCACTATCAGTAACAGGAAGTTTTCAGACCAAGGCTCTTTTGCAGAAAAGATGTAACTGTTCAGTGAGTGCATAGTGTTGCGAGTCATGCATGATTCATGCAAAAGGAAAGTGACAGATCCAATGAAATATGCACTTCTTTAGCGCTGATACAGACATGGCTTCTATTAAGTGGGCAGAATAAGATTGATGGTGCCCTAAGACTGTAATTTTTCTGTTTTCAAGACCTAGGGCCCAGTGGTAGGTGGTCACTTAGCAATCTTAATTGGCTTTTCAGACAGTACATTTTTGGGACTGGAAGTTTAGAAGCTGCAGGCACTTGGTCATAAAAGAAAGAAGTTCCTTCTGAAAGCACAAGGCAGGAAGTCACAGGGGCCAAATGCTATGCCCTGCTCTGACAATGACCGCTAAGATGGCCATGGACATGACATCATGGCTGCATGCCACAAGAACTGCCCTTAGGGGACAGTCCTATATAACAAGAGCAAAGGTATCCCAAGATAGTCTGGGCCTCATTCTTCACCCAGATACTATGACAATGGCAGTCTTTAGCTTTCAGAGGCTAAACATGCTTCTGTTTGCCAAAGATCTTTGAGGGGAGGGTGCTGAAGAAGTGCACATCACTACTGCCGGCAAAGACAGGGCAAGGTGGCATCTTAGAGATGAACGGCTTCAGAGAAGCATGAGCTTTCACAGGTGGTAGCCTACTTTGCCAGATGCTGTGAATGGAGGGTTTTATACAGAAGGAAAAGGGATGGGGGAGGAGACACTGCTAGGACAGGTAAAAAGGGCTGATTAGATCAATGGAGATGAACAAGGAAGTCAGCACATTAAATGACATAAGACGTCACAGCTAGTCCAGGGAATGGGATAAGAATCCATAGTCCCTCCTGTGACCATACTAGACAATCCAATCTGTGGATGATTGTTTCTTCCACCATTGTGTCTTCAAGTTGGTTTTTTAAAGTTCTTTTCATAGACGTCATAGACATCAGGGGCTGGAAGGGACCTCATGAGATGCATACTAGAAGCATGGCATAACAGGAGTGTACTCATTGTGTGTAACTTGGAGTAATGCTTTGGCCATCCACACCACCCTCCCATCGTGAACAAGCTAGCCTGAAAACTTTCTGCTTGAATTTTTGTGAGGGAATATTTTCCAACAAAGTGCACTTTTCATTTTGATTTATTTAGAATAGAGATTATCAATTCCATCTGCATTTTTTCAAAACACCAAAACGTTGACATTTTGGAAGGTGGGTGTCCCTCCCCCCCCCCCCATTTCTTGCTCTGAACCCAAGCGTTGTCCCTGGGTTTGGTTTTCTTTCCTCCCCCACAATGTGTTACTTTGAACAAGTGACACAGCAGCAAAAAGCTCTAGTGCTCTGGGCAGCTCTGATGCAGTTTCCTTCACAGCATTATACATACCTAAATGGGTAGGGAAGCTGCTGTGAACTACAAGCCAGGGCTGCATAAAAGCTAACCCTTCCCTTCCCACTGACCACTGTTAAATGTCTGGATACCTCACACCTTTATTAAAGAAGGCCTCATAACAGGGCATGAGAGAAGGCTGTTCTCATTCTGCTATCATACTGCTAAGCCCAGGCATGGGCAAAATGTGGCCCGTGGGTCGGATGTGGCCTGCAAGGCCATTCTATCCGGCCCACGGGGCACCTAAAACATTTAGAAAATTAATATTTATCTGTCCCTGGCTGCCTGTCATGCGGTCCTTGAGTTTGCCAAAACTCAGTAAGCGGCCCTCTGCCCAAAACAATTGCCCGCCCCAGCTAAGCCCATAGACAGTGTGCACGAGGTCACTGCAGGTAGTAATGAAAACACATGCAAGTGTTTGTCATTGTAAACAATGGCCTCACTTTCAATGCAAATGGATTTTTTCAAATGCTATTTGACCATCTATGAATTTAGAAAATGAAGAGGACAGAGAGGGCTATTGGCTCCTACTTGTCTTTGCTGAAGCCAGCAGATTTGGCCTATGTGAGTCACTGGCATCGCAGCTAGGAAATCTTTGATGTAACCAGGATTTGCACTCCCATCCGTTAAAAGCAACTGGGCATTTAAAAAATGCAGGTGGTTCAATTTCCCTGCCATAAGCCAAGCTGCTGAGACGTCACAGAGACATCCCAGGGGTTCAGGCACTGCTGGGAAAGGGAAGGGAAAGAAGCCAAAGTCAGGGGTGAAGGGGCAGGCACTGATGGAGAGCGAGAACTGGCAGGGGGGAATTCCCCAGCAGCAGCTGGTGGGGTAGGAGGAGACTGATGGGAAATGCAGTGATTAACGAGTGCAAAACCTGGCAGCCCCACTGTTTTTCATGCACCCAAGTGAGATGAGTGGCTGACATAATGCCAGCTCCCTTGAGCATGTGCGTGGGCTTGTACCAGCTTGCTACATAGCCTCCCTCAACAGCATAGCTCCTGGAAAAGTGGGGGGAGAGTAGAAAGGAGAAAAGCCCTTCCCAACAACCTCCGGGTTAACTGTTAAAACACATGATAAGGTACCAGAAGCCCAGACCCTTTTATGAAATGGAGTCTCTCCCGACTATAACCAGCAGAGTTGGGCGTTAGGCGTTAGAGAGCACTCAGGCCGAAGGGACAGCTCAAGAAAGGAAGGGCTGGGGGTGCAGTGTCTGCAGTACCAAAGATGGCTGCCATTTATCATGAATGCTTTGCACTGCCATAGAGCGAAGCCAGCCTGTTGTGGGGGGGCGGGGGAGTCAGCACTCCATTGTGCTAGGTGCTGCCCAGATGCTAGGTGCTGCCCAGAGAGCTCTCCTCTTTCAAGGACAGTGAAAAAAAAATTCCTCTGAGCACACAGATAGCTGGACTGGAGTAAGATAACAGTGAAAACTACTGACCTAACCAATGCCACTGGCTTATGTGCCTGCTAATTGGCTGGAAAAAAGAGCTCCCTCTGCGCTGCTATTGCAACTCCTGCCCAAGGGGTTGCAGACATGCTATGAGCACCAACCACTGCTCTCCTAGAGCACATCGGGCTCTAGCATGATCACTACATGTACCAACAAGGCTGGGAACAACACAGCAATTCAAATCCTCCACTGCTGACCAGCCCAGGCCCCAAGCTGTTGGAGGGGAAACTCTGGCCTTGTCTACACGAGAAAGTTTTTTATGCTGATATATTTATATCACATGAGCAGGCTTGGTCTGCCACAAGAGGGCTATTTTCAGTTGGGAAGAGGTTTAAACTAAACCAAACCCATATACATGTCTACATAGGTACGCTGAGCTAGTATAATGGTGCTGGTATAACATGCCATGTAGACAGTCTTATCAGGTGTGTGTGTATACACGACTGATAAGACTGTCCTCATGGCATGTTATATCAGTACCATTATACTAGCTCAATTTATCTGTGTAGACACGAACTTATGGACAGCTGTCAGCTGAGAAAAGCCTGTGACTGCGGTGCAAGGCTGATTATACCGGGGTGGGGGGCAGCCGTACATAAATGCACACTCACCACTTCACTACAGTCTTCTTTTGGGATTGCTCTTTTGTGACATGCTAGATTCTTCCCTGCTTGGCTAGCATGACCTGTGTAGAGTCAGGCTGATGAGTTAAATTTTGGGAAGGGGAGGTTTTCTGGTTCTCAGAATATTTAGGAATGAGGGCAATTTAGGGGAGAAATTCCTCAGAAGAGCATATTCAGTTGCAAGACCCTGCTTTTATAAGGCAATAAAGAGCTTTGTATAATTAATACAAACCATTACAAGAAGAAAAAAAAAAATCTACATGGGCTTCTGACTATTCAGGTCATTTGACTGTTTTCATACTGGAAGCTAAGTAAAAAGCAATGGCTGGGGGTTAAATGAGCAGAGTCAACCCCCAAACACTGCAGTGCAACCCTTGAGTCCATGTAAGAAGCTTCCTTGACTTGTGATGAAAACTCAAGGCAATCAGAACGCTTCTGCCAACATCAGTTCCTAGAAACACCTCTATTTCTCAAAGTTGAAACACGACAGCCCTAGTGATTCCAGATCAACACAACAAGGGTCTTCAAGAAGAAATCTCATCAGCCACCTTCTTCACAGTATCAGCCACGGTCAGTGAGCTAATCAACAAAGAGCTCTGACCCTGTCTGAAATGCTTTGACAATAACAGATATGTCAGTGAGAGGGGAATGGGGGCAACCATGTTACTGTTGCTTTTTTTTTTTTTTAAGGGTCCCAATTCTTCCAAAACCTCATCTCCGTTGCAGCATTTTCCCTCTGTCTACATTGTAGGAGAGGCTGGTGCACTGTCCAGGTCACAGAGAGTAGATCAGTTGTGAACACAAGACACGGCCCCCCCCCCATCTTGTCTTGCTCTTTTCACTAACCCATAAAGAGAAGCCATTGCCAACCAGTCCTCCCAGCCTCCCAGCCTCCCTCCACCTTAGACAAGCCACCATCGCTGGCACCTCAGTCTGAAACATTCGCCTGCCCACAAGCACTTACACTCCAGCTTATCCTCAGCCCGTCCTCTTTCCAGCAGCGACAGGTAACAGACAATGTCCTTCAAGTACACTACAGGAGCCACTGGGGCTGGCGGGTGTGCGTTGGCCGTTTTCAAAGAGTTGTGAGTCTTCCGGAGGCTGAAAGGTAACCTCTTCTCCAAGCTCCTTCCGCCTGTGGGAGGAAAGGAGATAATTAATGGCCACCCCCAATTGCCAGCTTGCTCCCTTACTGCTCCTCCCTGAGTGACCTACCCCTGGCCAAGGTGTCATGTGTTGTGTGCACTGTGGTGCTTGGACACGACTGAAACAATGGGTGAAACCTCCACTCTTGTGGCATTTCTGTTCCACAGTCTAGAACTGGGAAGTGCAAATGCGGGCAAAGCAAAATGCACAAAACCCAAACAGGTCAAGCCTTCTTCTGGCCCAAGGGAAGTCTTCAGAGGCTAGATTAAGTCTGGGTTGGCTCAGCCTGTAGCCATGCTGCTTTGCCCAGCTTCAAGTATGACAGGCATACACCTGCTTCAACTCCTTTCCCAGAGGACACCACAAAGCTGGAGGGTGGCATGACTTTTGGTCGCTAGTGGATCAATGGCCAAAAGATGTAAAACAGCCTTTCTGGCAGCCCACACAGAGACGAGGGGGCTGGACTGCCCATGACATTCCCCTCTCCAAGTTTGTCCTTGGTGCAGTCAAACTCCTGTTTGCATTCACCCCAGGACTTAACTGAGGAAATTAAAATGAAAGCAAGAGGCAGCTGGCTGGCTTGCATGCTCAGTGACCAAGAAGCCGGGGCACAGACCATCATGGCCCACACTCTTAGCACAGCAGGGCCTTACCCTTCAGTAGACAGTTCAATCTGGCATCTAGGGATATTTCCAAACCTCACCCCGCTCCAGTGTTCACTGTTGGCATAAGCACAACTTGAGGCGATGGTGAGTCACTTTAATATCCCCTCACTCCCCAGCAGCCCTGCTGCCAGGTAATTAAGACATTGACTGACGGTGTCTCAGCAGGATAGGATTTGTGTCCTGAGCCGCAAGTGAAGGTGATGAGATGGTATGGAGCCTGCTGCGTTTGAAATGTAACTGCTGTTCCCTCAGGGGATGAACAGACTGTGCAGCTATCTCAGGTCATTTGCTTTTAAAAATGCAGGCCCCTGTCTAAAAAGCCAGCAGTAATATCAAATACTAGGGCCCCAAGAACAGACCCCCAGAGAGCTCTGGGTGCTCCAATCAGTCCAACCTATGCCGATAAGGAGTTTGCACACTCATCTCTAGCCTCTGTGTAAAATGGTGTACTTTTGAGGCTCCCTAAATGTAAGTTTTCCAATGACAGCCTCACAGAGTCTACATCCCAGTTTCCCCAGGCAGTCACGACAATGGGTACAGTCTCAGGTCTCTGCTGGACCTGACAGGCTGCACTAGCCAATCGTTCCCCTTTATCTGAAGGTGATGGGAGAAAGCAAAACATGAAGCTCTGACTTTTGGTAGCCAAAATGACCCAAGACTGGACTGGTGAAAAGTCAGGAAGAGCCATGGACAGTGAGGCCTGAGCAGGGCAACAGAGAGGCGGGTTAAAGCTTACCTGGAGATTGCGGGTTGAGCAGAGACCCAGAGGAGATCTTCGAAGACCCTGAGGAGTTGTGGGCAGAAGGGGTGCCGGCAGTGGATTTCTGGGAGGATGACCTGGACCAGCTGGGAGAGGCGTTCCCAATGGCACTGTTGTTGGCAATAGGCGCAGGGGTCAGAGTGGCTGGTGGCTGGTCTGTCAGGTTAGCTTGGGAGCTCCTGGACTCCGGAGTGTGTCTTCCCAAGGCACTTAAGAGAGTTTTCCCATTCATCCCTGCAATGCAGACACATGAATGTGGAGAGTAGGCTGTGAAGGATACCCCCGAGAAGAGCTCTGCAGGGCAGAACACAGCACCAAGCCCCAGCAGCTCTGGGCTTTGCCCAACTCAGGACAGCTGTCTTAAGCAACGCCCCTCACTCCTTGTCTTTGCCCTTTGGATTCGTCTGACTAGTCACTGACCGAGTGCTAAACATAAGAGGGTCTACAGCCCAGCCCGTTGCTTCTCCTGGTCTCTGAGTTACAGCTCCCAACTCTGCCACCTGAGCACGGCTGAGAGGAGATCTGGTAGGGCTGCAGTGACAGCAGCCTGTTGTGCTGTCCTGGGACACTGGCCAAAGCAGCTTGGGCTTGCAGTGCCTTGGTCTCCTATCTTAGCCTCCCTCCCCACTTCCGGAGGGACTGCTGCAGAGCGAAAGGGGCAGGGTGCCTTGGTGCTTCTGAGGTACTGGAGGAGCAGAGAAGAGGCATCCTGGGAGAACAGCTGCTCAAAGACAGCCAGGCAGCAGTAGAGAGGCCATTATGTAAAAATCCCACAGAACATAATAGGGAAAACCATGGAGTTCAATCATTGAGACTGACATCCTCTAAACTACTCTGCAGTCACCTTGGGACAGCCTGCAGGGAGAGAATGCTCCTGTATATGCTGGGGGATGCCTGCCACGGCCCAGAAATAACATGTTATTTCCCATAAACAATTAGGAGCTAGACAGGGAGAAAGAAAATCTGCCTGGGGGGATTTTTTTTAGCCTAACTGGTCCCTGGCTTCTATACTAAAGAGGGTTCAGACAGCCACCACTTCCCCCTGGGTTCAGGTGTTTGAACAGAAGTCTTTCTACCATGCTGCCACTTGGCCAGGAGGCGGCACTGCTCAGACAGGAGAGTCAGCCTTCCCATGGAATGGCTTTTCCCAGGGCCAAAGAAGATCCCTCACGGCAGCTGAGTTGAGAAACAGTTGGTTCTAGTCCCCACTGCAATGAATACTCAAGTGCTTTATACAAAAGCAGGACAGCATCAATAGGAATAAATGAGAGCAACACACCCTAGGAAAGCCCGTAAGAGTCCTCTTCTGGGAAGTGGGAGATATAGGTTCAAACCCCTCACAGTGAGGAGGAAGTGGAACTAGGGTCTTCTACAACCCAGATGAACACGCTACTGGGCTACCAAGTTAAAGAACATGGTGGCTGCTGCTCCTGTCACTGTCCCTTTTGTGAATGGTGCAAGTCTAGCCTCTTGCTTTCCTTGGGGCCTCAGAAATGGAAATGAAGCATGTTGCTTTGAGTCAAATGAAGTGCTTGGGTGTATTGTTTTGGCCAAAAAAATACCCAAATCATTTCAGTTTGGACTGAACCAGGGTTTTTTTTTAATTTTTCAGTTTGACTCCAAACTTGACAACAAGACTATCTGCACAACCATACATTTAAAAATCCCTGCTGGACCTGCAGCCTCCAAAAGTGAACCAGCACCCCTTGTTGTACTGCCTGCAGTCAGGAAAAGATCTAGCCAGTTTGGGAAAAATGACCCTTCCCATCTTCTTCTATACTCATCTGTCTTTGGCTTTACATTTCCCTGCACTGCAAGACAGATACCCAAAGCTGCAAGACATTCAGCCCTGTGCACCAAACCTTACACACCTGTCCCTTGCATAAATTGGAGTGATGAATATTTTTGTGCAATACATAATCCAGCCACTAGATGTCTCAGTGTGCTGTAAAGTAGGACAAGGTAGACAAAGGGTAAACAAGGGAGACAAAGTTGGAACCTGAGCTGGGCAGAGTTCTTCTTTGTTTTTATAATTTGGTTATCTTCTCCAAAAAAACACTTCCTCTCTCAGATGCACTGGATCCCACAAATTGTGTGATTAGTCACAAAAACACAATAGTTACCTGTGACAGGGGCGCAAGCCACTTCGGTCTGAATGGAGATGCCCGCATCGATGGACTTTGACTCTGAATCCATACAAGAACCAAAACAAATAAATAAATAAATATACTGAATTCATCTTCAAACATTTGAACATTATGAGAAACAGGTGAAGTGCCTCATCCCTCATCTTTCACTCTACCTCCCCCATCCTGGAAAAAATAAAATGAAAAACTAGAGCACTTGGTGAAAGGCTGCACATAAGGACTTGTACCAATGTTCAGTTGCTTCAAAGAGTCACGAAGTCATAGATATATGGATTAATCCACAACCAAAGGTTTGTTTGGTGATGTCATTTATTGAAAAGCTATATAGGAGGGAAAGATGTTAGTCTGAGGGAAAGAACCTCTTCTTCAATCAAATACACACCAGCTTAAGTGGAAGGATCCTCCCTTTAGTACATTAAGCATTAACTTTATTCTGCTCTGGAGACATAAAATAAACCTAATAATCTGGCACTGGGAGCCAGATTTTCTGGCCTGAAAAGTGTGGTGCTGACCTGCTGGAGCTGTTCAGAGGGGACATGGCCAGAACGCACTTTGATCACTATGCCTAACCAGTCTTTCCACTACAGCAGAAAGCAGTCCCCATGCCTGGGTGTGGGGGACACACTATATCCCCTGTGATATGCACTAGTTGCCACACTCTCAGGACCACTACCAGGATCTGCATGATGATGCCTGCTGCATATGTCCTTCATCCTTGACAGAGCCACATTATACCCAGTGGGGCCTGAAGGTGGGTATGTTGGATGCCGGGACACCTTGCAGTCATCTTTGCATCTTTGAGGCTGGATGTCAAAGCAATGCAGAGCCTCCAGCGGGTAAGCTCTGACTGCCCAGCTTCTCTGTGATGCAGATCACTGGGATAATTTTCACCATATGCTCCAAACCTCCCGCTGGCCCACAGTCTGCTTCCCCTGCCAGCTGATGACCTTGGTCCTGACCTCCAAAGCCATTCATAGATCAGGTGCCAATTACAGCAGAGATTTATAAGTCCCTAATCCTCTGAGACAAGGCAGCCCACTCAACCCCAGAATAAAGCAAGTAGGGTCTAGGGACAAGGCAGTCTCTGCTGTGGGGATCTAGCCATGGAATGACTTCCCAGATGCAATCAGATGAGTCCAGACCATGCAGGAAATACTGGCAGTCTTCCTCTTGATACAGCTTCTTCCACCATCCCCAGAGCTACATTAGCCACCTACTCAAGCTCACATTGAAAACTCCCTAGCCCTGTGGAAGCCCTGGAAACTGAGGAGAACGAGAGAGAGGGGCTCTTGCTTTGTCTACCTACTGTATGTAGAAGTTATGCAAAATCTACCAGGAACACCAATTGTAATGAGTGCCCTGATTCTCTGGCTATGGACTGAGTACGGGACCACCTTGAGGGTACAGAGACCCTGGACACATCAGCTGAGTTGTCCCTCCTTGGCTGTGGGTCAACAGAACTGGTTCTCCATCATATTCCAATAGGTTAAAAAAAAATCAATCAATAGATGCATCCTTCCCATCCTCTTGGACCAACCCTCATTTCTAACAACCTCTTCAGTGCATGCATATGTCAGGGCAGCCAAATGATTGCATTATTGAAACATCAAAGAGGGAATCAGAGGGATTTGGAGAATGAAGCTCACACCCCCAGTACTATTCAGGGCCTGCTAGACAAACATGCTGAACAAGCAGACACCTACAAAGTGCATAAATCAGAGAGTTTGAAGGCCCGAAGGGAACAGAAGATCATTGAGTCTGACCTGTCTGTTACTGGCCAGACAGTTCCACCCATGAAGGATGCTAACTTCTATATCTAATTCAGTTAGCTACCACTTGCACGGTTGCAAACAGCATTGGGAATGGCTGGTGACTGCATCAGCTGCTGCTGTGGGGAGCAGGTAGGGCTGGGGATATCACAGGAATAGAATACATGTTGCTCACCGAGTGCATTGAGCTGAGAGACGCTAGAACTTTGCTGCTGCGGCTCTGGGGAATACTGGCAGACCTTGCGTTTGAAGGACATGAAGAGGTGCTGGCAAAGCTCCTCTGGGATATCCACCTCCAGGTACGTCTTCATGAAGAGCCAGAAGCCCTCATAGTCAATGGGCTACAGAGAAGCAAAGGATGCCATTAGAAATGCCCTGTCTCCCCATGGGACCCCCACAGCAAGGACAGAGACTCCTTTGCCTCCTCTGCACAATGTTTGACCTGTGCAGAAACATGGCCTTTCCCCTGAGGCAATGACCAGCAAAGAACAAAACGGCTTTCCTGCTTTTGCAAGTGTCTTCTGCAAAGGGCACACAAAACAGGGAACTGCTGGCCCAGATGGGAAGCAGCAAAGGGAGCTTTGGGAACGTGTCGCTGTTTCATAGGAACCTCTCCATGCTCTCCTGTGGGAGGTTTCTCATGTGGACAGCGCCTGCTCTGTGCTGCTTCTTTCCCCCGGGATTTCAACTCCTGTGGTTAAGCAGAACCATTTTGAACTCCTCTGTGTTCAGACTCTGACTCTGAAAGCTTTCCCATGATGGGTCACATGCCAGGCATCCAGGGGCAGCCACCTTGCTAGGCAGCACAGCAAGGATTCACAAGGGACGAGGGCTGTGTAACTGCTTTCACTCCCCTCCGCATCCCAGCAGAAAAGCACTAGGTGAAGGTAGCAGTCACACTCTCCACTTTGGCTGTGTCACATGTGAGCTCTCAGCATGGGTCTGCCCAGAGCCCCTGCTTTCCTATGGCTCAGGATAACCACTGCTCTTCCTTGACTTTCCCCAGCTGCTCAATTCAGGTAAGGGTGAACAGCAGCAGCATTTACAGGTAGGCTCTGGAGCTGTGCAAGAGCAGGGGCTCTGGCCAGCCCTGACTCCAAACAAGGTCACTGGCCACACTGAGCAGGAGCCTGCTCTGACCAGGCAGTGAGTTCAGAGCTCACTGGACATGTGTGGCACAGCCATAGGGGCGGCGGCGCCCGCACTCCCTTTACCTCTTTCCTGGATCCACTGATGCCCCCCCCAATTTTTCCCATTCACCCCAGGAGAGAGGTCTCTGCTCACCAGCATGCAATGTGCTCTCTGAGCTGACTGTTTCCTAGCTCTGTCCTTCCCCAGCTTTTTTCATCCATGCCAGAAATGCCAGACTAGACCCTCCTTGAGATATACCCCACCAAGGTCATTTTGCCATCATGCCAGGACTCTGCTAGCTACACTGGGTCTGAGCTGGGCCAGGGAAGAACGACCCCACTCTGCCCTTCCCTTCCTGGGGCAGGACAAGTGCCCTGTCTTGGCTCATCTCTCTACAGGCCTCGCTCGTCCTCAGAAGAACAACCCTTGGACCCATCCCTCTCCTTGGTCATACTGAAAAAGATGAGGGGATGTGGGGAACATTCAGGTTCCCTCTCCCCATGGCCGCTCTTGGAGCTGGAGACTGGCAAACTGGGGTGGCTGGCACCATGGAAAAGGAGCCAAGGCTAACTGCCCAGTATCCCTCTGGTCCTGATGGAGAGAAGCCCTTGACACAGGTCCTACCATGCCTGTTTTGTAGGCAGTGGGTGTAATCCTCCCACTCCAGAGTCTTTCCCTGTGCCATGCTCCCTTTGGAGATAATACACGGAGGGTTTTGCTGCACGTTGATTCAGGTAAAAATTAGCTCCATCAGGGCTGGCTCAGAGAGTACTGAGCACAGACCCCCCCACCCCCAGATGGTTTCCCTAGGGACTGAAATTTCTCACCCTAGGTCTCAACTTTGAGGGTAGCTTTCTAAGAGAAGCCTTTCAAGGTAGCTAGATGGGGGCAGAAATAGTAGCGGCATAAATAAGATAAAGGCAGTGCAATGAGGGCCAGATTTCAACTGCCATACTGAACTAGCACAGAGCGAGACCTCAGTCTCACAAGGGCAGACTGCCACAGCCACGTGAAACCCCACTGTACCCAGTATGCTCCGTGCACAGACAGGAGTCCGACTCTGTGGAGCCAGTCAGAGCATCAGGGCCTTTTCTTGGTCTCTTCTCATGACCCACTGGCTCATCATTCAGCCAAGCTGTTTTAATCTTTCCTCATAAATCAATTCCTCCAGGCTCCTGCCTTCTGTTCTCACTAAATCTCAGCCACAGTCCTGCTTTAACTCAGTTTTCTGCATTTAATTATATATAAATAAATTACCCAAATCGATTTGCCACTTAACATTTCATTATGATATGCCTGTGGTACCTAGGCAAGAAAATCTCCATTAACGGGAGCACAGTACCCAATAGCTCATGTCACAGTGGAGTGAAATTGCGCCCATTTAGAAGGATATTTCTGGAAAGCTAAAGCCCTTCTAAAATATTTAATGACTTCTGTTCTCCACAGCGTGACTTCACTCTGCAGCTCAGGAGATAACCTTGCTTCTGTAAATCACTATCCACATAACTCTAGGCAAGAGTTTCCAAACTGTACAACTAGGAAGATGCCCAGAGTGGGTTTTGTGGTGGAACATGCAGACCCCGTTTCTGGGCTGGCAGGGACATACTGAAACCCCGTGGGCTGAGAAAGAGCACAATTGTCTGTCTCTACTGCCCAGATACCAGGGCAGGGGGAGACATGCCTGTGACAAGGCCCCTTACCACCTCCCACTCTTTGTGGGAGCTCAGATGTTAGTGAACAGCAGAAGGTGGAGGGTGGGTGGGAAGCCTGGGTGTTCGACTTGCTGTCTCTTGCTTGTATGGAAGGGAGCAATGAAGGGAGTGTCTCTGCTGTTTAGGTCCTAATAAGACCAGTCCTCCTGGGGTTTGCCCCTTCTCCTATGGGGAGCTGCCTGCCATAGGGACATGTGGGGTGGGTGGGATGTGGTTACCCTAGTAGCAGCCCCAGCTGAACATGCAGAAGCCAGCATGCAAAGCAGGAGCTAACAGCCAACCACACACACCAAAACCAGAGACAAGCAGCAGCCAGGTCTCTTACTTGGTTCAAGGTGTCTTGCTTCTGCAGGAAAGAAGACCAAAGAAAACAGAGAGGAGAGTTTAGTGAGAAGGGGAAGGGCCGGAGCACAGGCAACACTGGGGTAAAGGGGGAGTCTCCCCTGCAGAAACACCCAGTGCAGGAAGGAACTGAACCAGCTCATTGCAAATCCCATGCCCTGAAAGCCCTACCTGCTGGCTGCCCAACTGGCAGAGGGTGGGTTGTAATCAGCTTGTAAAGGGGTTGACTTGCAACCCACGGGTTCCCACCCAGGTGACACTCCCCCTCATCACCCCTGCGGCTGCTGCTGACTACAGGCTGCCTTGCTCTCTTCCAGCTTGCACTTCCTGCCATGCCCCCAGTTTCCCAGCAAAGCAAATCTATAGCTCTTTTGGTTACAGAGAAAAAACCAAGAATGTAGCAGGACAGTGCCCTAAAAATCTCATCCCCAGGAGCCCAATAAAAAGAGCCCTGACCTTCCTAAACAGTCACTTGCCTTGTAGGCAAAGACTACAAGCTTGGGGATCATGCTCCTGCAATGATTGAGCTTGGTCACAGTGGAGGAGGGGAGCAGAGAGGCCTTTAGAGATTTCACGTATGAACATAACCAGATGGTGGTTCTGCTGATCCCACCAGCTTCCTGCCCAGACCTGGTTTCTACGCTGAGCTGCCCAAGCTCTGGAAACCCATGTGGTTTGCTGTGCTGGAGCTCTCACCCATGCTCTGGGTGCTGCTCTGCTCCTGGAGCTTACTCTGGTGAGTGCTGTCTGCTCTGCCTAGTACCCGTGTGACAGGTATGCCCAGGGAGGAATGCCAGACTGAAGGTGCAGCAGGGAGCTGGCAGTGTGAGCATCATGGGTATGCTCAGGGGTAGGGATTGTGGGAAAGGGCTGGAAGGTAGGACAGGGGAGGAAGGTCAGATGGGAAGGACGAAGGATGGAAAGAGGGGAGGAGGCCGTGGTGGTCAGTAGAGGAGAGCTGGAGGGAGCCATGCCTGGGGGGGAGACAGAAGGCTGAGAGAGCACAACGAGGGAAAGGCTTGCCAGCAGGGCAGCAGAGTGAGGACACACAGCTGAGGGAAGAGAAAGGAAGCACAGCAAACATCTTGCAAACAAACCTGAAGCCAGCACTGGGCCCCACCATTCCCGATTCCACACTGCAAGGCAATGGCTTGGCCGAACCCCTGGTTCTCACCCTGGGGTCAAGACCATCTGCCTTCCTTTATAGTTGAGTGGGTTCCAGGTGCAGTAGCCCTGGCACTTTCCCAGGCCAGGACCTCGAGTGACAGCTGGGACCTCGGCCCTCACAAGTTTGCCAGGTAAAGAGGATGTATTTTCTCAACAGCAGGGTGGCAGGGCTGTCCCTCTGGTCCCCAGAACTCAGTACATGAGGATGTATTTCTGATTAGGCCAGTACCATGCTCCGGAAATCTTAGTGGAATCGTAGGTGTGTTAGTAGCTGGAAACTATCACAAAATGACCCTGACATCCTAGACACACATAGAGCCTGGTGCATTTATGTAGGTGTTTATGCCACACGTCACTGCAGCCTCTGACTGCTGCTCAGACATCCGCTATCATGTGCAGGAAATGGGTTTTCAGGATGGGGCCCCCAGCAGAGGTAAATTGGCAGACCTCCAGTGAAGGTGCCATAATTGCACCTGTTCACACCATCCAAAGCCTGGCACCAGAAGCATTCCCCTTGGCAAAACAGCTTTCCTCACCCTGATAGCAATAAAGCATGAGTCAGTACCTTCAATCATTTAACTTTGCCAGTGATGGAAGTGCTCTGGTGGCATTCCCATCACCAGCACACTGTAATCACCCAGAACTGCAGGACCAGTTGCCTTTTGCTGCTCCAACCAGAGTTTGCAGCACATAAATAGAAACCTTGGTGCTGCTCTGCTGACATTGCTGCACATACCCTCCAGCACAAATGCGTGAGTCACCAGAGCCCCAGTTTCCAATTATTTTCCTGTCTCACCTATGCTATTTTTCAGACCTCTGCATAATAAAGGTGCAAGGACCTTTATGGCAGCACAGTTGCAGGTAACTTAGAGTGAGTAGCAAGCAATACCTTAGATAAAAAGACTCCATTGACAGAAGAGGGAATCACTCTATCAGAAAGGTTACCTAGGAATCATGATTGGGCAATGGAAGCTGATGGGCTGGGGTCAGCTAGTCCAATACCAAAGGGCCATATTTGCCATAGGGAACTAGGTGTGGGATCACTTGGCTTTGTTAGGTGTCCTGGTGCCCAATGGAGTTCACAGCCCTGAGTTTGGTGCCTGGGCTCTTGCTAGGAGCCATGGGGCAAGTTAGGTCATGAATGGGATTCCCAGAAGCTAGTACACCGAGCAAGCAGACCCCCAGATCCAGCCAGTAGGAAATTCTGAGCAAGGGGAGGAACCCAAGCCCCACCCATTACAGTGCAAAAGCACCTGACTCTGGGTTGGAAGGAGGCACCTCCATCCACTTGGCCAGAGAAAATACAGCCTAGTGATTAGGGCCCTGCACCCTGGAGACCCAGGGGAGAGACTGGAAAAGGTCCTCTTTTCAGAATATTCTCTAGCCCAGTGGTCCGGAGACTTGCTAGAGGTGTGGGAGACCTGGGTTCCAGAGCAAGCAGAGGAATCAAATCAAGTCTCCTACAGCCCAGGTGAGGGCTCTAGCCATTGAGCATCCCTCTAAAGGGGGGATCCTCCTCCCCTAGCTGTCTTGTATGAGTGTCTGTGTGCTCAAAATGCACCTGCGGAGTTGGGTTCTTCCTGTGAGAGACCAGCCAGCACCTTATTTGTGAGCCCACAGGGGAAGAGGCACGGGGTAGATGCTGATGGTGTTATCAAGATGCAGGCAACATAAAACACAGGAGACTATGAGACTTTACTATGGACTTTTGATGTCTCCAGATTTAGGCAGTAGCTGCAGGAGGAAGGTTTTGCAAATGTTGCCAGTGTCTAAATACTAGACATGGGCACCTATCTGCCCTTAATCTAGCCCAAGATGGACTTCTTGGCTAGGTTTGCTGCAGGGCTTCATTCCTGGACCCTATTTTGCTCAGGTTACAAGGATACAACTAAGCCTTTACAAATACATAAAACCAAGCTTATGATATAGTTCAGGCCTTTAGCAGCTGTCTGCACAGCTGTGCCTCTTCAGAGACGTTCTCCCTGCACCTCCTCAGCTTTCTTTCCCCTCCAATTGTGACTGAATATTGAGGATAACAGGTGACAGGTAGCAATAAGCAGCATCAAGTTGTAGGGGGAGACTGGGATCTAACAGCATGCTGAAAGGGTCCATGTTAAATCCAATTTTAATTAACACTCCTTAAACCCTGAGAATTGCAGTTAAGTGAAACACTAATGAGTCCTGCAAATCCTCCAGAACTTGGAAGTGTTGGGAAAACCAATGAGACACAGGAATAATGCAAAGGAACTCAGCCACGTTAGAAACAAGAGTGTTAAATAATACCTTGCAAACTGATCCATGAGGGAGATGTCAAGAGTCCTATGAGCCAAAGTCTTCCAAGCGCATTTTCATTTTTAACCAACTGGAAGAGGTAGTTGGACCAAGTGAAGGCTCCTGCCTGCAGATCCCTCCCACCCCCAAGAGTAAGTCCAGCAGGTCGACACGGTGGGAGCGAGGTGAGCAAGCCTACTAAGCTTCACCCACATGCTCAGGCATCTCAGGGGATGTGGTAAGGGAAGATTGTGGCAAGGGCCAAAGAATGTTTTCCCTGGTAAATCATAGAGGTAAGTGCAGAAGGACTCTGTTTACTAAAACTCCCCAAAAAGAGAGATACAGGAGGAAAACAGTCCTTTTCCATTTTTATCCAAGGACCACCCCCCTCTTCCCCCAGGCTGCTCTGCGCTTTGAAGACATTTGAATGTAATTAGTCATTATCCTAATTTCTCCCAAAAAGCTTCACACCTACATGAGTCCCCACTGTGCCAGGAGAATAGGCTCCTGGATAGAGGCCATGTCACAAGCTTGGAACAGCCATAGACGTGCTTGGCAGGAAGCTGTGAGGACCTCTTAGGTCCACCCACAACCCAGCATTTGGACCTTGTCCTATTTTCCTCCTAATGCTTGTTTACTTCTCCCCTCAATATGCTCACAGCCACAGCTCTCTCAGCGCCTTTGTTGCTCTCTTCCACGCATAATTACCTTTGGTGACAAGAAGTTTTTCCCCCAATTCCCTTTGTGACTGGGCCCCACATAATGTCAGCCCATGCTCTCCGATTTGGGTTCCCACTGCGTTCTTGAATAGCTCTGTAGCTTTTAGTGCCTCGGAGCCAGGTGCAGCCCACTGATTTACTTAATCACCTTGTTTCTAATGATTTATAATTATGACCCCTGCTATAGGTTCTGTCATACTGGCATGCTCATAAGCCTTTCTAAAAGCATCCTCTAACAAAAGACAAACCTCCTCCTGAGAGAGGTGTTACAAAGCAAAGGCTTTCCCCATACTTATTCCACTAGGATGGCCCATTGTCCCAGCTTTGCTAATAGCTGAAGAAGTGTTTGCATGAAGAGAGAAAAACTGCATTAGGGAAGCACACTGCTCCCCTAATAGACAGGGAGGAAGGGGAAGGTGGGGGTGGAAGAATCGATGTTTAGGTAAATGGCATCACAACAAGAAGCTGAGATTGGAGCTCAAATATCTCTGATGAGAAGGGGTGGGAGACCTGCCCACCTCTTTGTGACAGAGGTGAACAGGCTTCATGGAAATCTAAGAACACATTTATATAACCTATGCACTGCGAGTCACTATTACTTATGCTGTGGCATTGGAATATTTAATGTGCCACTACAATTTAGTGGGACTGGAGAAGAAAGGTCCCTGGTAAGAACATCTAGGCGCACACTTGGAAGACAATGAGAGAAGACAGCTTCAAAGATCCTACTGCTTTTCACTAACCAGCCATGAGTCTTGTTTTGCCAAAGCTGAGCATTAGTGGAACAAAGGGCTATTACATACAAACAGTAATTGGCTTGGCTTCTGTGGTGGTAGTGAGGAGGGTAATAGCCAAGCATGGTCCGGAGATTTTGTCAGTAAGTGCCCATGTGGTCTGTAGGGGTGTCTGAAAACAGCCATCCCTTCTCCAGCTCCAGGGAGCAGTGAGCCTTAGAAAGGGACCAGTGTGCAAATAGACTGATTAATGTCTGAAGAACAGAGGGTTTTTTAAACACCTTTGTCTTTTGCTGTGCTTTAAGATGGCTGTTTGGTCACTCAGAAGACAGGGTAGATTTGCACCTTATAGACTAACTAAATCAGAGATGTCCATTCAGTGCTCACCACTGCTGTTGCTGCCGTTGGAAGCAGATTCACAAGCACTGGATATATCACACCTGCTAAGGTAGTTACACTTGATATACAAGGGAATGAAACCCAGTGAAACCCCGAGAATGTGAGAATCACCTGATTCCACCCTGAGAACACAGCAGCTGAGAAGGGGATATTGGGATGGGCCAGGGATGTACTTACCCCAGTTACTCCTGTGAGGTTTTATGGAAGGGGATGAATATGTAACATGCTGGTTTCAGAAGTTCAGAATATAAAGGCCCTTACCTGTTCTGGGTTATATTTGGAGAGGACTCCATCCCCGTGGAACTCTTCCAAGACATCCTTGAGTTTCTTACTAGAATCTAGGAAGAAAGAACCCACAGCAATAAGCATCACAGCACTGATTCAACGGAGGAGGAAAAGGACACAATGTCATGAGCTTTCCCAGAAACATTAATTCCTCCACCTAATCACAGGGCAAACAGGTCTAGTAGGTTGCTACAAAGGGTACCATTTACATACCTGCCCACAATGCTTCTTCCTCCATCGTACTCTGTGATCCATTTAGATGACATTAGCGTCATTAGCGAGAGTCACAGGAACACAGGAATGGAAGGGGCTTCCTGGTCTATCGACCTCTGTGTTTACAGGCAATCATTTGCTCAAGGAATCTCCCCACTTAACTCTTTAATCTCTCACCCAAAACCATAAGACACAATACCCAGAATATGGAGGAGACCCATAACATGCCATAGGTAGAAGGGGGAAAGGTGAGGGCACTGCTAGTGCCATGCCTGCCACGACAGAGAAATAGTCGGTCATTCTATGCATCAGGCAGATGTCACCCTGGTGACATCTGTTTGTAGACACAAAACATGAGTGAACAGACATCCTTGGACCTTGTTATGCCCCAAATGCCCAATAATGTTAGTGTGAGAAGCCTATTAATAGTTTGTGTAGCTTGCATACATGTGCTTCAGGTTGGGGCCAGGCTCCCAGGGCCAACAACCCAGAGGATCATGTCCTGAAGCCCTGGGAGTAGCAGGGCCCCAATTCTACAAAATAGCGGCCCTGGGCAACATCTGGACCTGCCGATCAATCAGCTCAGATGTGCTGCAGACGCAGAAACAACATCTGTTTGTAGTCTGAGTGACATCTCCCAGGAGGAAAGAGTTAAGTAGCAAACATGATGGAGGGGCAGATGCATGTCTCCTGTCATAGGTGGGAAGAGGATGAACCTGGTAGGATGGAAGGGGCCAGTGGAGGATGTACAAATCCCAATGCTTAGGGAAGGGGCTCCTGTAACAGAGGGGGCAGGTAAGTGGCACCCAAAGAGCCGAGTGGGAGGATGGATGGAAGGACGGAAAGTGCTGCTGGAGATGCCCAGCCTACAGAACCTATACAACACAAGAGCAAGCAGGGGCCTTTGGGGCAGATCCTGTCATACCAACTGTGATCCTATTCCACCCCACTCAAGTCCATGAACAACTTAATGCAATAGGTGGGGAGTCCTTCTTCTCCTTGCTGTTTTTTGCAATGAGGTCTTAAGGCCAAGATAACAGAAACAGGTTCTCAAGGATTAGAACAGGGTGGGATAGGATCACACTAGGTCACACACATGCCTAACAGGTGAAATAGGATCCGGCCACAGGTGTTTTTGTTTTTTTATCTACTTATTCATTTATTACTACTGCACCCAGGGGAAAAACACCACTTCTTTGAGGGTAGCGTTGTTTGATTTTTGCTTTTCCTCCTCCTCTTTCTTCCCCCACCTGATCAAGAGTTTTAATGAAGGAAAGAAACAAGAGAGAATCTGCCAATTTTTCTCCCCAAATTTGTATCCAGCCAAGACAACACCTGCATTTCAAAGCAGGAGATAAGAGAACCGCTAAAGATCAGGAGGGACTAATAGCACCATTACTTGAAAACAGAAGGAGGAAGTTCCTTCAACAGTTTAGAGGTCTCACAACCTACTGGATCCATCCACCTGAACACAGTGGGTGCCTTGGACCCAGTCCTAGCTTCCTCTGTGAACCTGACAATGCACCTGATTGTCTTCAGGGATTTATTGTGAGTAAATAAGATATGAAAGAGCTTTGGGTAGGTTGGGGCTTTTATGGGAAGTTTCCTCTGGTCCATCATGTTCAAGGATGTGGAAGCAATCTCTATTGGACTGCGGGAGACTGTACGTGATGTGCAGTGGCCCCTTCAGTCACAGCCAGGCCTTCTATACTGCCATGTTTTTTCTTCAAATAGCAGTTTCCTGCAGACTCCTATTCTTACAAGTCCTCTCCCTGCCAGGGAGTCTGCAGAGAGGGAGAAAACTAGAGGGGAAAAAACTGCTGCCTGGATACAGAAAAAGGAAAAGCCGAAAGAAATTGCCAGGTGCCCATAAAGGAGAACTGTGCAGAATGGAGATCCCTCCTCAGAACAGGGCCCCACACAAGGCTGACTCAAGAGTGCTCTCACCTAGGTGTTCAGGAAGGGGAAAGGTGATGAGCTTCCTGCTCTGGGTAGTACAGAGAAATGGAACAGGCTAGCCAGTGCCACTGTTACGCTGCCCCCATCTCAACTTACAGAAGCCGCCCTGTTGTGAGCACAGGGAAGCATTAGAGCTAAAAGGGAGACCTGGGAGGTCAGGGCTTGAGCACAGAAGGTCACAACCCCAGGGGATCAGGAGCAGACAAGGTGCAAACTGGAGTCAAGAGTCAGGGGATTGGGAGGTAACCAGGGAAAAGTGGAAGCAATTAGCCTGCCTGCTGCCCTGGCTCCTGCCAGGAGGTGCTTGTAGCCTTTCCAATCCTTTCCCTTTGCTGAAGGTAGTGTACAACGGCACCTGGCAGGGTGGGGGTCTCAAACGTGCATACCCCTGCTGGCTCAGCACTGACCCAAGGCCACAAACCCATTTCCCGGTGGCACCCCTGGTTGGCACTGGCTTCTAGCGAGGCTTTGAGCTGGGCCGTGTTTCCACAAGTGTCCAGAGGAGAGAGGCCCCACATGCTAGAGCTGCAACAGTACGCATGCCCTAGAAGCTAGGGGGATGGACTGCTTGAGCCAGCAGACGGGTCAGGCTGCCTCTCCACACTCCCAGCAGCATGACCCCCCAGGGTGCACGTGACACTGGCCTGCCGCTTAGACGCCTGCAGAGCTCTGCCAGCTCTCCCTTTAGTAATCTTTACAGGCCAACCTTTCCCTCCTGGGCTGGGATGATCTAGTTGGGGCTGGTCCTGCTTTGAGAAGGGGGTTGGACTAGATGTGACCCTCACTGTCTATGATTCCAACTATGATTCCTCCCTCCCTCCCTCTCTCTGACCAAGCCCTGCTCCGTGCCCTCATCTTGCAGGCTATCCCGAGTGGTGCAGGTTCCCCATCACGCTCCACATCCCTCACACCTGCCCAGCAACCAGCTGCTAACTTCCTTGCCTTCCTGCTGCTCGGGAGCAGCTCATGAGTATAGCCTGGCGAAGAGACTCCTCTTTAGAGTGGGGACTTACTGCCCCTGTACAAGAGCCTTCTCCCTCCCTCTCCATGCCCCCGAAGGGTGGGAGCCATTTTCTCCTCCTACAGAAAACTAAGGGCAGGATGCTAGAGGCAGCATGTCAGTGATGCCCTTCTTTACATGGGGGAGACCCATCAGAGCCAGCAGGAAGAGGATGCACCTGTCCCTGGCTATGGGCCTGTGCAGGACTGGAGAAGTTGGCAACCTGGCCTGGAAAAAACTACCCCAAGTGAAGGGGTTGTCATGTGCAAAGTGGGAGCCCCCTAGACCCAAGCAGAGGGGAAGGGATGACACTCACACAGCAGACAAAGCAGTTTCAGGGGAAGGGGGCATACTGGGCAGGCCAAGTGGTGGAGAGACATACTGGAGGCAGAAAGCATGCAAAGTAAGCAAGGAGGGGCCTGAGGCACAGGCCAGGTGTGTAGAGGTCTAGCTAGGGCACCAAGCTAAACAAAAGAAAGCCTGTTCCAAAGGGGGAACAGGGATTACTGCCTAGTAAAGGGGACCAGGGGGGTCATGAGATGCCAGACAGGCAGCCAAACAAAACAGGCCCATGGCTAACATACAGATGGTCTGTAAAGCAACATAAAGAAACTTAAAAGCAAGAGTAGGTGCCCTAAAGGTCTGGCCTATGAAGCAGGACTGAGGCACTGATAGCCATTACTGAACGATGCGGGAATGGTAAATGGAGAGACTGAAATAATTCTAAGCTACAAACGTCCAAGAAGCACCTTCCCATTGCAGAAAGTGCCACAGGGAAAGACTAGAAGCCCCGGTCTTCCTGCCTTTGCACTGCTGGTATCTGAGATGGAGGGTTGCCTGACACCCTTAAATGTCAACAGCTCAGCAAAAAGGAATATCCTCTTCCTTAACCGTCCACCTCTGGCCTTAGCAAGTTTTTCTTCTAGCCCTTCTTTGAGTCTCCTGTAATGTAGGAGACCACAGAGAAGGGAACTCTGTACCCAACCAAGAGCTGTCTGGGGGTTTACGGGAGCAAAGGGAAAGGAATGGGAACTTTAGAGCTATCCCATTCCAAGTGGGCCCAACCATGCAGGAAGTGTATTTGTTCCCACATGTGGCCCCTCAGGGATCATATCTGCTCAAGATCCACATAGGTCAGTCCACCAGGAAAGGGAAGCTGTGTTTACATCACTAAAGGGCTCCTGCACCAGAGGCATGACAGCCCAAAAGGACACAGCAGCACTGCCTTGATACAGCATTAGCTACCTGTTGGAGAGCAGGCTGAGAGTGGGCTGATTGCCATGCACCTGCTGCCTCACCAAGGAGAGTCTGTAACACCAAGTTAGGAGTTGTGTGCAGGAAGAATGGGCCTGGCATGGCCTGCAGCACTCCCTACTCAGGTCTGCGGTGCTGCAGCCATGCCTCGAGTGCAGCTTTTTGCTGCTATCTCCTAGCATCAAACTGGTGGGGATTTTCCACCAGTGAGATGCTAGAGGCAGCATGTCAGGGATGCCCTTCTCTACATGCGGGAGACCCAACACTAAAGCCAGCAGGAGGAGAATGGACCTGTTCCAGCCCACCACATTAAATATGAACAGCCCAGCCTGAATCAAAGCTACCATCTTCCAAATCCATGTCTTGGCAACTATCTATCCTCTGGATCATGGTGTACATGCAAGAGGACTATGTGACCATCACACCAAGACTTTCAGCATGTACTCCTAGGCAAGAGTAGGAAGGAGTGCAGGCTGCCCAAGACCTACCAACCCCACTTTAGACCAACGAGACAGAATCCAAAGGCAAGACCGAATCCAGGAGTTCGGTGCCTCAATGGTTGTAGTTTCTGTGAGAGAACAACAGATGAGAACTGTTGCTGACTGCCTGATGCCTCAGCGAGGGCAC